TTCAACCAATTCCGTCAATTCCATGAATACTTCCAAACAAACGTACATAATTTAATGCTAATTTGCAAATTAATCAAAAAAAATATCAGAGTTCAAACATAAAATAAATAAATAAAAATGAAACATACCACCTAGATATTTCTCCAATTTTACGCATTTGTCTGTCTTCACAAATCCCGAAATTGGAAAAACCCCACTCGTCTATGATCTTCGTTGATTATAGAAACAATTGGATGCAGAACACTTCCTGTTTGTTGCTCTTCGTTCGAATTTTTTAAGGAATTTTACAGGATGTAATAAGCAAGAAGCGGAGGAAACTGGATAACGTAAAAGAGAAGATGAACAAATACAGAAAAAAACTAAACCGTCGTCGAGAAACATAGAAGAAGTTTTTAGATCATTTATAAAAAAAAAAAAAAAAACACCAAAAACAGGGGGAAAAAAGGAAAATAAATAAAAACGACCCAAATCAAATGACAGAAAAGCCTCTAGGGAAACCAACAAACGGCAATGAAGTCTTACCCCATAACCGGGAGATTCTATCTTAAAAGGGGATTGAATCGGTAAATTATGCAATTATAAATAAGGTTTTGCAGAAATATGTAGATTTCCGATTTGAAGAAAGAAAACCCAAATTTATGGAAATTCCACAATTTTGTTTCGTTCCCAAAATAATTTGTGTTTCCTCTGTTTTTCCCGGAAGTTTAAACTCTTACTTGAAATTTGGAGCACCGTCGGCAGAGGCTTCCACCGGCAAACAGTGAGCGGGTGCTCCACTCCCACTTCCGACGGAATTTGAAATCTTCAATTTTCTGTAAAGATTTCTGTGAACGATGTGTTGATGCAGTTGAGGAGATGTGTATTGTGCATATAAGTTTTTTTTTTTTCTTTTTTTAATGAAACGGTGTTTTTTTAGATCTGGGCATATGAAGAACCGTAAAAAAATTTATTACAAAATCAGTCCTTAGGACTATAAGAATTACAGAAAATACCCCTAGGGTTGCCTAGGGTTTCTAACCCTAAAAGGTGCCACGTGTCAACATATTAGGCCAAGGATTGTCTTTTTATATATATATAGAATATAGATATAGATTGGGAGAAAAAAAAGGTCCAATAGTTTGTGGACAGATTAATTGATAAAAATCCAGGCCCATTTGTGAACAAGAAACGGATCCTTTTTTTTTTTCAAATTTAATTGGAAATTTTGTTTTTTAAGGATTGAAAACTTATTATTAGATGGGCTTGGGCTGGCTTTTTGTATGTTTTCTCCAAAGAAAAATATTTTAGGGGCTAAAATTAGAAAATATTAAGGTAGAGGGGTAGGTTTTGACATAGTTCACAAAATAAGGGGTCTAAAGGGAATATTCAGAACAAGCAAGGCTTTTTTAACCTTTAAATACCTCATAATCCACGCTAAGGAACATTGCGTCATCATAGTTTTCTTCGTAACCACGATTACAATCTGTTGTTTCATAGAACCCTAGCCCTAATTACCAAATTCAAACCCTTTCGAAGATTTCAATCAAATCTCTATTACGTTTTCCTCATCCAATGGGTAGCGAATCCATTGAGCCCACGCGCCAGAAGCATCACCGATCATCCTCCCCCGACGATGCGGATGAGCGCTCGAAACGCCGGAAGCATCGAGACAGCCGCCAGCGTCGCCATCACCGCCGCCACCGAAGCGAGCGTGAGAAAGAGGAAGCGAGAACGGAATCTCAGGAAGGATTGGAAGGTGGAGAAGTTGATCACGTCGAGGTTGAGGAAATAAAATTAGAAAATAATGGGAGCGCCGGAGATAGTTCCGTGGGTGAAGATGTGGTGTTGAGAGTGGATTACGACATGGAAGAAGGGGAGATTGTGGAGGATGATGGTCCAGTTGGTTATGTTAATGGGGGTTTTGAGAAGGTGAAGAGGAATGTTGAGTCTGATGTTGAGTCGGGGGAAATTCACATGAATGGGTACGATAATTCCAATATGGTGAGTTCAGATGTAACTCACTTTTTTGTTTTACATTAAATTCTGATGAAAGACTTCTGAATTTTTGGCGTCTGTTTAATTTCTGAAACAATTTGAATTTGGTTTGCTAGAAGTTTCAAATACAGAAACAGTCCATTCATGTTTTCAGTAAGAAACATAAAATTTTGAAGCGTTGCCTTATGTATATCTGTGAGTTTCTTGAGTATTTTATTGCAATGAATCCTTGACGACATTTTGAACTGATGCTAAAATGATGAGATTTTTTTACAAATAGGCTAGTTGACTTAAAAGAGGCCACAGGTATCATTAGGGAGCTTTGCACTATATTTTTATCTTCTGTTTCCAGGCAAAGTTGCCTTGGCGTTGTCACTTTCCAGAAGACTGAATGGATGGATTTCGAATGATTTGTAAGATTTGTTTATACTTGCATGGATTGTTTATGCTGTAAGAGATGTGCTGAATATTTCAATGATTAACGGTTTACTCTTTGTTTTATTCCTTTACAGGGAGTTACTCAAGAGAATGTGGAAAGGGTTGATAAAAACTTGAAGAACATTGGAAAGGACAGCATGGAAGACAATGAAATCGGGGAGGTGGATAGAGTGAGAGTATCTCGTTCTGAGGGTCATGCAGAAGTGACTTGCGAAAATAAACACCACAAAGATAATGGAGTTCCCGTCAAAGAGGGTAAGAGGAGAAGGGGCACTGATGATGAAGTTGAGAGAAGATATCAAAAGAAATCTTTGTGTTCTGAGAAAAGACACAATGCTGTTGCACATCCATATTCAAATGACAAGTATATGAAAGGGGGTCCTGATAGTAACTTATTGGAGTCTCCTGAATCGTCTAAGGTGGGTTCGCGTTCGCAAGATACTTCCGTTGTGGGTACTGCAAGTACGATGGGTGACCCATTCTATATTGCTAGGGAACGGAGAAGTGAGTGTGATGATGAAAGAATCGTTGCCCGTGACATCAGCTACAAACATAACAGCAGATATGATGAAGGGGATAAAGAAAAAGAGTGTAGGTCTAGCAGATTTACTGGGAGAGCGGATAGAAATTATAGCAGGGATACTAATGACAGGTATAGGGAGGAGAGCAGAGACAGGGATTGGGATAGGACTAGAAAGAAAGAAAGGGAGGAGAAGGAGAAGAGTGGGGAAAACAGAGGAAGGTCCAGAACTCAAGATAGATATTGGGAGGAAAGGGAGATTGTGAGAAACAGGGCTAGAGACAGGGACACAGAGAGAGACTGGGAAAGAGAGAGGGAGAGGGGCCGAGATAAATTAAGAGAGGAGAGGAACAAGGGCAGGGATAGAAGTAGTGAAGGAATTAGAGATGGCGGTTGGGGTAGGCACAGATACAATGATAGAGATAATGATAGTGACAGGTCAAGCAAGCATCAAATATATGACAATGATGAGGATGTCTACAGGGATAAGGGTAATAGTTCGAGGCATAGAAGAAACTCTGAAGATCTCTATAGAGAGAGATCAAGGAGAAATGATTTAGGAAATGGAAAATCTATACCTAATCCTGAGGATAGGGATAATGACGAGGTTCTTAAAAGGTATATTGTCTCCATAAACAATTAGTTAAATTTGAATATTCTTCTCTTATTCTCTATCATTTAGATTATCTTTGTTGGTAACAGAGAACAAGACAAAGAAGAGGACTTTCAGGAAAATATTGTAATGCAACTTGCAGAAGAGGAAGAAGATGATCTTGAGAGAATTAAGGAGGAAAGCAGGCGGCGCAGGCAAGCTATCCTCGAAAAGTACGAAAAACAACATGCAGACCAACAAAAAGGAACTCAGTCACAAGTTACAGGTAAGAGTTATTTGTCTGCATTGAATCATTTACTGCTGTTTTTATTTCTCTTGAATTTCAACGCCGGAGACGTTACGGATTTGAAGTTTGTTGTGACCATCTTCGAATTAAATTTGTTAAATTTGTTTAATGCAATCTTATGCCCCATCTCAAAAGTTCTTGTTAGCTCATGCCAAATGGGTTTTTTTATATGGATTTAATCCCGTGGCATTCTTTAAGATCATCCAGCATTATCTTTCAAATATGGTTTATGACCGACTGTCTTCCTGTTTTTGTTCCCCTTTGAATAAGTGCTTTATGGATGTATGTTTCGTGTCTTCTGCTGATTTATGCCTTGCTGATATTTGCTTCTTGTGCTTTAGTTGAGGAACAAGTTGGCCAGCCTTCTAAACATGCAGAATCTGCCGAAGTTATTCTTGAAAATATTCACATTCGAGTGGAAGCCGTAGATACACCTGATGCCGAGTCATCCTTTTCTGTTGGTAAATCACCTGCACAAAATGGTCTTTCTGCTCTTGAGAAGCGTACTGGAACTGGAGGACTTGGAGATGGTACCCCTAAGGTGAGTCAAATACAGTTATATTTGATGTTCACTTGCAATCTCAAAATCAGTAACATATTTCACTTGATGGCTAAGACAAAGTCGTGTGGTCGCACTTTCTTGCATCTTTGTTGGTTTACTTTTGTTTCTCCTACTTTCTTCTTTAGGTTCTTATTTGTTTTGGAAGAATTAACTTTTTATTTTCTTTTTTAATAAAAACTTGCAGAGTGAGGGATCAGTGGATATGTTCTGTGATGATATGTTTGCAGCATCCCCTGCTGGAGTTCAGAAAACGGTTAGTCTCAACTCTTATTTAGACACATTTTCATATGTTCCTTGGTCGTACATTTAGTTACAATTCTTGAGAGTATTGACATTCTGTTCATTTTGCTTTGCCAAAACTCAAATATTCTGCCTTTTTTCTTTATTGTCTTGGTATTTAGGAATTTTGTCTCAGTTACTTTTTAAAATAAGCTTTATATACTGTTCAATATATGTTGCATTGTAGGCGAACCTTATATATATATATATATATATATATATATATATATATATAATTTTATCATACGCAAAACTCTTTGATGAAAAACGGAAATTTCATTCGTTACTTCTTTTTCTGCTGACAAAATTCCTTCACAGGGCAAAGGAGATGGTTTGGCTATTGAAACAAGTGAACTGCACGACAATTGGGATGACGCAGAAGGTTACTATGGTATGTATGATCACTAATCTAGTAATCTATATACTCAAAAGTTCCATCAACGCGTGGAAGATATATGTATCTTCTTTTCATTTGAGCTGTCTTTTCTTTTTTTGGTTACTCACCTTGTTTCTTTCTGATGTTGTTATATTTAGGTTACCGTATTGGAGAAATTCTAGATGGTCGTTATGAAATAGTTGCTGCTCACGGAAAAGGTGTCTTTTCTACTGTTGTTCGTGCAAAGGATCTCAAGGCTAAACTTGGTGACCCTGAAGAAGTGGCAATTAAAATCATACGCAATAATGAGACAATGTGAGCAATTTTGGCTATGCTATTTTTTGGAAACGTGATGTTATTTAACTCTAAATTGAATGTGAAGGTGGGCTTAATTTGTTGTGTCATTTTTCCTTTTCATCACGTAGGTACAAGGCGGGAATGGAAGAGTTGGTGATACTGAAGAAGTTAGTTGGTGCAGACCCTGACAACAGGCGCCATTGTGTTCGTTTTCTTTCCACATTCAAGTATCGGAATCATCTTTGTTTAGTTTTTGAATCTCTTCATATGAATTTACGTGAAATTCTCAAGAAATTTGGTCGTAATATTGGTCTGAAGCTTACTGCTGTGAGGGCATATGCAAAGCAACTCTTGATAGCACTGAAACATTTGAAAAACTGTGGGGTTCTTCATTGTGATATCAAGCCAGATAATATTCTGGTATGCTCGACATCCCATTCAGTTTTCTTTCCCATGTGCTATTTTTTTCCCCTCGCTAAATTTTGTGCATATATCTCAGGTGAACGAAGCAAAAAATGTATTGAAACTTTGCGACTTTGGCAATGCCATGTTTTCTGGTAAAAATGAAATAACCCCTTACCTTGTGAGCCGTTTCTATCGCGCCCCAGAGATAAGTAAGTAATTGTATTATTTTTTATTTGTAGGTTTACTTACAATTGTTTCTTGACCAATAGTGTCTTGTTCCCGTTTTGCAGTTCTGGGACTCCCTTACGACAACCCCATGGATATGTGGTCGGTGGGTTGCTGCTTGTTTGAGATCTACACCGGAAAGGTTCTCTTTCCTGGTCCTTCCAATAATGACATGCTTCGCCTTCACATGGAACTAAAAGGCCCATTCCCAAAGAAGATGCTCCGGAAGGTCAGATCTGAGTTTACTTAGCTTCCTTTCTATATCTCCCTTCTGAACTGCCCTGCTTTATATCTTGAACTCTTCGGTGGTGCTGTATAGATATTTGCCGGTTATAATCCCTTACTTGCTACTTTATTACAGGGAGGATTCGTGGATCATCATTTTGACCAGGATTTGAATTTCCTTGCAACAGAAGAGGATCGTGTGACAAGGAAGGTAGGTATTCAGTTTATCTATTGCTTTCTTTTCTATGTTTAAATGTAGATTCCATTTTCATTTCAGGAACAATGTATTCCTGCAATTTTGTTCAGTTTTCAAATTTCTTTTTTGCAGACATTAAGGAGACTGTTAGTTAATATCAAGCCAAAAGATTTTGGCACAATAATTTTGGGATCTCCTGGCGAGGACCCAAAAATGCTAGCTAACTTTAAAGATCTTATGGAAAAGATCTTTGTGCTGGATCCAGACAAAAGGTTGAACGTATCACAAGCACTAAGTCATCCCTTCATCACGGGCAAGTGAACTTGATGCTGATCTCTGACTACAGAACTGCTGTTGCACTAGATACTTGTACATTTTGATGTGATCTCTCAATAATTATCTTTTTGTTTTCGTAATGATTGGGCATTTCTGTCTTTGAATTCTCTGTGCTGGAGCAAGATCTGAGAACAGAACGGTTGGGCGCGGTTGAAGTTCTTACAGATGATCTTGGGAAGCCATCTAACTGGAAGTTCTTTCCATCGATAGTTTTCTGTTTCTATTGTAAGATAACCCGCCAAAGGCATTTTTACATTTTGTTTGTACTATTTGTTAATGGTGACAGTTGCATAACAATTGATTTAATTCAATTTTTTCATCACCATATCTTTGTTTGCCGACCTAATTTTATCAGTGGATATTTCCCCTGTGATCTTGTTATTTCATGCTAATGGTCCCACTGACGTATTTCTGTATTTACTTTGTTCTTTCTATTCTGCTGTAAACTTTTTGTATACTGGAGAATCTAATGTGATCTTTTGTACAGGAAATCCGCTTGTGCTTTGCGGAAACCAGTTTAGATGAATAAAGGCACTCTAGAGAAGGTACCTTGGTTTGTTATTTAGGAATTTATAGATAAATTTAGTTTTAGTTGTTGTAGACTCGACTCATTTGAGTAGTTAATAGGAATTTAAATCTTCCTTGTTTATCATCTTACTCATGTTCGACTGTCTATCCTATTGTACAGAATTCTTTTTCTTTTTCCACTTTTTGTCTCTTGATGTCCAGAACATCTGACGAGTAATCCTTTTTTTTTTCTCTCTCATTTTTCTCTGTTTTCTTTTACGTTAGTTTGACAATATGCCATTTTTTTTGTTAGGTCGCAAAATATATTATTGTTGCTTCTGTATCTAGATCTTTTGCTATTATATCTATTAAAGTTGCATTTTATCTGACCCTTGGTTTGGTTGTTCTGGAGGATTACACGGGCGTAGATCTTCTTTGCTGCTCTGAAGTGTTCAAGTATTTCAGTGAGTGCCCCAATTTGATCCTGTCAATTTTCTCCGTAATAAGAATTCACCCTTACATGATTTTGGAGCAATTAGTTATAATGTGCCTCTTTAAATGTTTTATAGGGTAAAATCATTTTGCTTCTCCAACCCTGGTAAGTACTTCTGCTTTTGTACTTTGTATATTTACGTTAATTTATTTAATCAGTAGTTAAAATTGGGTTGACAACACACTTATGTCCCGTCTTTTTTCACATACTCATTCATGTCATGTTATCTTTTTGTAACTTTGAAGCAATTCAATGTTGGTCAGAATTTTCGACTGCAAACAGTTTTTGTATGGTACTCTTGATTTTAATCAATGGTCTTGTCTTGTAGTACTTGAGTTCATTTATGGAAGTTGTGTATTACTAGTTACTGTCAGATTGGTTATCAGTTCAATGACTTGTCTTCGTTTTCGAGTAGATTTAGGTTTCTTTTGAAACGGCCCGAGTATGGTTTGTGTCTATATAGTCCTAACTTGTGCATATTGTCGAAATAATGTCGATTGCTATTTTATTAGTGTTAATGTGGATTACAGTCTTCTTTTGTTTCTGGGAATCGTTCAGACAAAGATTTGTCTTTGTTAATGATGTGTTGAAGGGATCTCATTTACTACAGTGGGAATTCTTGGAATTTTGTCTCTGCAATTTAGAAATACTTTCCCAGTTGTTTTGAGGTAATTTCTTAAGGCAGGCACAGACACACACACACACACACACACACACACACACACACACACACACACACACACACATGGACACCTGGACTTAGGGTTTGGGGTAGAATGTTCTTGATTCTTCTAGACGTTGCATAATTTGGACCATCTCAGTTGAGATTCCTTGTAATACTTGACTTCATTTTTTTCAAGTCAATTGATTTGATTAGCAGGTCATCAATTCTAATCTGTGGGGTTACCCAAAAAAAGAAAATAAAACAACTGTGATTTCTTTTCCCCACTTAATTTTCTTAGCCTTCAATGTTTTCGAAGTTTCGTAATTTCGTGTTTGCTGCTGCGAATTGTCCCTTTCCAGCACTGTGAAAATGCCAGCAAGTTCAAGTTATAGCAACTTTTGTATCACTTACATTTGTCGATCCCCACCTGTTGTTACATGTTTCATTTATTTGTACATAGGCTTCTATATATATATATATATATATATATATATATATATATATATATATATATATATATATATATATATATATATATATATAATATTAAGATTTAATTGAAGTTGGTCGCCAAACTCAACTTTAAGTGGGGCTCTTACTCTTACTATTACGGTGGAGTGACTATAGAATAAAGTTTAGATATTATATATTGTCATGAATATTATACTTCTAATTAATTAAATCAATTTAATCAAGATTTTCATAAAAGGGGACTTGAATTCAATGGATATAAATGATAAAATTGAAGTACATTTGCCCAACTTTTTATAGTGGTATAATTGTATAAATACTAGGGTAAATTACAACCACCCCTTGAGGTATAGTCAAATCACGAAAACCCCTCATGTTTGGGTAATTACAACCACCTCACTGAACTATAAATCTTCTTATACATCAATCCTTGCGGTTTCAAATTTAGTTGAATTTTCGAGATTATATGGAATATTATCACTTTGTACATGTTTCATCCCATTCAAACTCCACATTTTGAAGCAAGATGATCATAATATGTGTTTTATGGCTTGTATATATCAGATTGTGGTGCATTAGAAACTATATTTTTACACAAAACGAGACAAACTAGCGCACATTCTACGAAATTTAGATGATTATGTTGAATTTGACACCAAAAGGATGGATGTGTAATTATTCAAACAAGAGAAATTTTTTCATAAATTTGACCATTCCTGAGGGGTGGTTGTAATTTACCCTAAATACTATTATTAATTAAACTTTTTTATATTTTGTAGTATAAAATGAAGTGTGTGATAAGTCGGAAATATGTATGAAGAGCGGAACTGTACAATTGGACAGCTCGACACTTGAGAAGTTTCCTCTGTATTTTTCGACGTCCGACAAAACACACCGCGTACATGCCGTTATATATCATCTGTATATATATTTACTTCCCTTCCCTAAAAAAAAATCAATGGAAAAGACTTCATCAACAAGAAAAAACCCCACACGCTTCTATTTTTAATTCCTCATACCACATTATATTACTTCCTATATTTTATTATATTATATATAAACACACACACCACACACATAGTGAAAGTGTGGGTCTTCGTTCAATCGTCATCAACAAAAGGTGCAAACGAGCAACTTTTGTTTGTACCCTTGTTGTTATAGCTAATCTTACTCTAGTTTGTGCTTCTTGCTGCTTTCTTTAAGCATCACAGCTAGTTAAATAAGAAAAGCATGGGTAAGAAAATGGACGCTTTGCTCGGCAGAAGCTTCAAAACCTCCAAACTCAAATCCACGGCGGCTCTGGCCGTTTCCCGCCTCTCCGTCCTCAAGAACCAGCGCCAGGCGAGGTGTTCCGTTGTTCGCTCCGACGTCGTCGAGTTCCTTAAAACCTCCAACCATGATAGAGCTCTTCTAAGGGTAAAATATTCATCATTCATATACATATATATGTGTGTGTGTGTGTGTTTCAGTGTGTGTATACTAGCATAGGAATTTCTAATTAATATTTATTGGGATATTGAAATACAGGTGGAGCAAGTGATGAAGGAGCAGAATATGTTGGATGTGTTTGTTGTGTTGGAAGGCTATTGCCATCTTCTTATTGAGAGGGTTCATCTTTTTGAACATGAAAAGTTTGTTTTCTTTCTTTTTCTTTTCTCTTATATATAAAAATTGAATTGAATTGAATTGATTATTTTGCTCCTCTTCATATATAAAAATTGTGTCTTGGTTCTTTTTGTTTTTGGGATATAATAAATAGAGTTTGCCCTGAGGAGTTGAGAGAAGCTGTATCAACTTTGATTTTCGCATCCACTAGATGCGGCGAATTCCCTGAACTTCAAGAGATTCGTGCCATTTTCGCCTCCCGTTTCGGTAAAGAATTCGCTTCTCGAGCTGTCGAATTACGCAATCATTGTGGCGTTAACCCTAAGGTAAATATATATTCATCACTCTTTTTAATTTTTTTTTTTTGACATGATATGTAATACATCTTTTTATCGGCAGATCATACAAAAGCTGTCTACTAGAATGCCGACATTGGAGGACAAAACGAAGGTGCTCAAAGAAATCGCTTCGGACAACAACATTGATCTTCACTTAGATCACGAATCGGAAACCACAGCGGTAATTAAGCAAATTATCGATATGTTTCTAAATTCAATACGTTTACGAAACAATTTATATTAATCATGGTCCGTCAAATATTCCAGGAAAACAAGGAGGAATATTCTCAGCACAAGAGTACTAGCCCGTCATCGGGACAACTACTTTTCGATATTCCCGTAGTACATTCTGAGGGATCAGAAAGAGGTAGTGTGGGAAGAAAATACAAGGATGTGGCTGATGCAGCACAAGCAGCTTTCGAATCAGCCGCCTACGCGGCGGCAGCCGCCAGAGCCGCGGTGGAACTGTCTCGATCTGAATCCACCGACCCTCCCAATCACCGCCCCGGAAAATTGTCCACCGCCGCTAGTTTTGAGGAGGGGCGTCTGGTGGAAACTGAAATCAAGTACGAGAAAATTCATCCGGTTTTGAACACCAATAATAAAAGATCGTTCTCCGATGATAATGTGAAGGGAGATAATGTATCTTCCGACGAGGAGGGAGAGATTATAAAGCGAAGAGACGGAGGCATACATTTCGACGAAAGTGATCATGAAGACGAGCAGAAAAGCAGCTCGATTAATCAGGATAATATTAATAATAATAATCCTGCAGCATTTGGTGTTGAGCCTTTGAACTTCAATAGGAGGCCAATCTCCGTGAGGAACAGACGATCAAGCGGACGGTGATCGAATATTACGTAATTTCGGAATATACCGAGTTTTCTTTTTCTTCTTGTAATATATATATATATATATATATATATATATATATATATATATATAGGCCTTGAGCAAGTACCATATAATGTGATGTTATTCTTTTTATGTTCGACCTAAAAACCGTTAGTGAAGTGAATCATTTAATATTTGTATAATCAAAGAGAAGCAGCAAAAAAACAAATAAGCAAAACTCAAATCAAATTATCCCCAAAAAGGCAGAAACACAATTACTACAACATAAATACAAGAAGTGAAATGTGTAATAAGTTTCAGGACAAACTGCCACCACTTTGTTGCCAGAGATTGATAATATCAGTGGCCTGGTTCAAGAGAATGATCATTTTCTTCTGAGAAATCCAAGGTTTGCTCTCAAGGCTGATTTTGAGTTCTTCCCAAGCATCTTTTCTTGGCCAGAAAAAGTAAGGGCTTAAAGGCACAGAACCATGGCCTGGTATTACTTGATCCAGACCAAGTCCTATGTTCTTGTCCATCCATATGAACTTCAGTACCAACCTTGGTTTCCCCATTGTTTTCGCCTCTGCTTCCACCACCACCTGCAACCAAAAAAAAGATTCAATTTTTATAGTTTAAAGAAAAAAAAAAGATTCAATTTTTATAGTTTAAATGAAAAAAATATTTAATTTTTTTTTATAGTTTTGAAAAAAGAAAGACTCAATTTTTATAGTTTAGAAAAAAAAGACTCAATTTTTATAGTTTAGAAAAAAAAAAGAGTCAATTTTTATAGTTTAAAAAAACAAAGTTTAAGTAGAGATGATTGAAGTGGACCTGGGGTTCGGGAGAATCTGCGGTGGCGGTGGGTGCTTCTGTTTCAGCCACTTCGGTGGCGGCGACGGGCAGCGGTTGGATTGTCCGGCGGGATTTGATTTTGGAGAAATGGAGATGTGGGGGTTCTGTTTTGACGGAGACTGGAGAGAATTTGAAGGGGTTTTTAGAGACGGAGGAGAATGGAGATGGCAATGTGGCCTTTGGAGTTGGTTGAACCGCCATGGATAACATCTTCTCTTTCTTTCTTTCTGAGAGAGCTGGAAGAGAGAGAGAGGAGTGGAGAGAGAAAGGAGAGAGAGAGGTTTTGGGTGTGTGATGGTGCTGGACCAAGTGTTGGCGATGGATAAGGTGATAATAATCAGAAAATGGGTCAAAAGAATGACCCGTAGCCCATGGGCTTTTCAGAAAATGGGCCTCCCTATGGAGTGGTTATAAACTTCTAATTGAATTCATGAATGAAGTTAGATTAAGTTCGAGTAGTGTTTTTCTGAGCCCACTTTTGATTCACTATACGCACGCTACTAATGACGTATAGTTTCTTTAAGTAGGAAAACAATGTAATTAATTTTTTTGAGAGTTAGAGTAGTTGGTGACTTCAAAAATATTTTCCAACTCATTAAGCCGATTTTCTACCGTGCGATCATCGGGCTCGCCTAAAAATTTCGGTGGTCAAAATCGTAGAAACCTCTCAAACATTTGGTCCTCTGTTGGCATGGCATGTTCGGCCATTGGCACTCTTGTTTGTGGTGGTTGTTGACAGAACTGCATAAATTTTTGCCACGTAGTTAGCATGTATTGTACTTCTGACATAGCTGCTTCTGGAGGAACTTGTGGCATTTCGGTTGCTTCGTGTGTCGTAGTATCACATTCCTAGAAAAAAGTCAAGTAAGACAACCCTCACCTTTGTTCAATGAAGAGTACTCTGTGGTCACGATTCCTCGATGTCAACACCTCAAATCGGATTCTAAACTTTCAGTAGCATGATGAATGTTTTGTTGAAATCGAGCGACCACCACCCAAATAGAACGGGCATAAATCTCCAGCAAATTAAAGCTTATATCGAGGGCTTTCTAAGGGTATATCCCGATTGCTTAAACTATGCCGGGAAGATTGTCAAGTCACTGTCCCTTACGATCCGTCGACTTATCCCTAGCCTCCTCTTATTTTCTTGATTTCACTCTCAAATTATTCCTCAGATTCATTGCTCGATTTTTCTAGAATTTTTTTAGGTGATCCTATAGATGAAAATGTGTAATTTATACACAAAAAGGGAAGTTTAAGAAGAGAAAATCGATCGGATGAAGATGACGAAGAGAAAGTCTGACTCACCAATTAGTCTACGTGTTGCTCACAATGAAAATTCCTAATTCAATTTATCTAATAATAACTACATCAACCATATTACTCTCATATTATATATATATATATATATATATATATATATATATATATATATATATATATATATATATATATATATATATATATATATATATATATATATATATATATATATATATATATATATATATATATATATATATATATATATATATATATATATATATATATATATATATATATATATATATATATATAGATATATATATATATATATATATATAGGGGGTTAAAGGGTTAATGGTAATATTGGCATATACATGAATGTTTCCTTTATTTATAATAAATATTAAAGGGATGGGGCTTATGGGTGAAAGAAATATATAGCCCTCTAAAGCTAGAATAATAAACACGTGAATGGAGCCGACATCGGCGGAAGCAGGAGGTGGAGGGCCGGAAGGAGGTCAACAATAGC